GAACCTGTAAAAATAAGTTTAGTTCAGCGAACTGTATGGGTACGGGGAGTTTAGTGAAGAGTTGGGAATTTGGCTCAACCCCTGTTATTCGTGCAATCAGGGAAAACCGCGTGAAACAACAATGGGCGACAATTGAGGGTTTGGATTAGTATATTTATCCATTAAGAAAAAATATCATCAAATAACAATGGTACGTATGTAAATACTTAAAAAACGACAATTCAGAAGTTAAGTGGTGACTTACAATAAGTGCATTTTTTTCAACACCAGTTTTTAGCCAATATCGCGGAATTAATGAAACATACCGAATTTTTTATCAATACCATTTTTGTAGAGAAGGAAGAGAGCTACAAAAAAGGTCATTATGAAAAAATCGTTAGCTTCCTGCGATTTCGAGATATTGGGTAAACAGAATCGGTACAGAAATTAAAGATTTGAAATACGAAAGAGACGGAACTAAAATTATGTAATTAGAATGTAATTGTCGGGTAAATGACCCTTGGGTTGCAGTATTCTCAGCAAATGAAAAAAAAATAGCAGTGATGATCATTCGTGATAAAATCGTGACGTTTTTATGACCCTAATTTGGTTTTTTCAAAAGCAGGATCGAATGACACTTTTACTAGAATATTCGGATATTCGAAGCACTCGGGTATGGATTTATCGAAATGTGTGCTCTATAAAATGGTAAAAAATTTACCCGAAAACTCATATAATATATTCATCCTCCTCGTGAGAATACTGCCGTGATTAAACAATTAAAATACAGCAAACGTTAATTAAAAGAAATTTTAATAACAAGGTTTAGTAAAATATGTCAGAAGATATTTAATGTGGAGCGATGTGATCTCATTCGAGTTGAGAGTCGAACTGCCCGATGGATTGTCCGTTTTGGGAACCTTAGGCCCAAATCCTCTTTGATTATGTCTCAAGCTAGAGTTTGCATAGCCAATGTCCTAAATGGTCTCCAGATGAAAAACTCCGAGGTGTCGGGTAGAGTCAAACAAGGCCCTCAATAAACGCGAATAAAAAATTGACTTCCTCACAATCTACTATTATAACTATTATTATAAGTATTATCCGAATGAATGGACTTCAGTGATAAACTCACCAGATCAGATTGGGTTGAAATAATATGGACTCAAGAGACTTTAACGATTCAAACGTTTTTACATGAAATTACTTGCAATCACTCAACATCTGTAAAAACACTCAAAATCACTTGAAATTATTAAACGACTGAGTGAGTGATTAAATTGAAAATAGAGTTGTAACTTTTTTTACGGGAAACATGTCTAAGTGATGATTTCAACATGGATTTCTCTCCCCACCAATTACATTGATAACGAGATCCCATATGGACCTATAGATATTGCTCTAGTATGAAGGCAATAAAAAATATCGTATGTGTCACCTGTTCCATTACCGTGTGCCATCCGCAAGCAAAAAATCGATCACACTAAAATCCGTCTTCATGCAAATAAAGATTAAGCTGCCAGCGACGAAAATCATAATGATAACAACAACAATAATTATTATAATAAACATGATATGATAATAATGAAAAATAATGAATTTTTACCTGGGGACTCCTGGAAATTTGCCGAGCAGGCGAAATAAAAAATGGAAAAATTTCCAAAACCACTGTTGAAGAATTGTTTTCACTTTGTGACCCACAGAATTGAAATGAATGCTTTTTTATCTCATTTATTTATTCATTTAGTCGCACCTCCATTGAAGTAATTAGCGGCTATATACAGAGTTAGAAAAAACTAAAAGTATAAGTTTTTATATAGTAAATTGAACACGACAATACCACAGAACAATTACGTAATGTTCCAATAGGTTTTGTAGTCGGTTAATAATGTTGAATTTTTTTATTCGCCATGAATTCTATCATAATTTTCGCATTCAATCAATAAATCTGGAGGGAGGAAGTAAACTAGGATGAGTGGATTTTTTTCGAGGTCAGTTTTTAGCAAATATTTCCGAATCGAAGAAAGATACCGATATTCTCATGAATACCTTTTTTATAGCCCTCATTTTTTTCTAGAAAAAATGTTTTCGCGAAAAAATCGTTATTTCCCTTCAGTGCCGAGATATCAGCTAAAAAGTGGTCTCGAAAAAAATGCACTCATCCTAGTTGACCACTTCACTACTGCTTCAACATTTTTTTTCACTTTTCCTTTAGAGTTTTAATCGTATTCTCTTTCTGTTTTCCATCAGCCCGAGGGTTTGTCCAGTTCCAGTGGTGACTAAATCGACAATGATAGAATCGACTGTTGATCCGTGACGATGAGCGTTGGGCAAACGGCAAATTCCGAGTTCGGCCCAAAGGCCACAAATCGCCACACGAAACTGTTGATCTACTTTGTGGTCGCTCAATTCGTGGTCCAAGTCACTTGTTTTTTTTATCTCTATGGATACATAACGAGGGTGAGCAGTGAAATCCATGCAACCTCTTCACAACGAGTCATACGAGAGAAACGAAGTAGCGCACTACCCATTCCTGAGGAAAATGCCGTTTCTGAAGTATTCAGGGTATGTACTCCCATTATTTTTTCTACTTATTATTCAAGAGAATATTTCATGTATTATGAATATATTTGATGGGTCATTTGAATTCCCTTGCAAGCAATACGAGTGGAAGATGATTTATTCACGCGTCATATCTTCGAAGTGATGGGGAGATATCATTCTACTTCACTTTTTGTCCAACTCATTAGCAACTCAAACTTAATGAGCCAGTTTTTAAATATCTTCAGGAAGTAAAATTATAAAGGGGTTTGAGGGTATATTTCAAAACACTCCACCTCAGTAAAATATCTTCTTCTATAATTTATACTGGTAAAAGTAACGTAGAGTTGATTAACAATATATAAAGTCAAGATAAACGCAAACAGAAATATATATCTCAATTAATATTGGTTAAAGTCGCTGAATGTGCTGTCGCCCGAGTTGCTAGGCGAATTGCCCTCATCTCCACTTCCTAGTGGAGAAAAATTCCAACGCATCATTCGTCATTCGGCATTTGTTTATTGTAAACAATAGCAGGCGAGCGTCGCCCAAGTCCAAAGTTGGTTCTCGAAAGGTTTATCCTAAGGCGCTGGTGGTCTCCACCTAGGCTAGGGTCTTTGTCCCTAGTTCAATGAGTATCCAATAACGCTTCGATAATTTTTCTCCACATATCTTTATATTATTTACCCTTGAATATAAAATCAAATCGATAAAAAACGGGAAAATGTCACGCGAAAAAATCTCTTCTGAAATTGCGGTGATAAATTGGCAAATTACGGAATTAAAAATTTCATGAACATTTTTAATTAAGCAGTAGTCTGAGATATTTGTTTAGATTATTATTTTATGAGTGATTTCTTTAAATTTTATGGAAGATGAGAATCTAATGGTCTTGGCGGTCCTTAAAATGTACTTTGCTCGTGTACTTGGGGATATTGTTCAAAATGAAGTGCTCGATTCGAGGGTGATATAGAATTCTAAAGTGCAAGTAATGGGAGCTGCTCGAAATTGATTCTATTCCCATTTGCCGAGTGTTCTTTGAAAATGTACTTTGATCTGATAGAAGGGAAAATTCTGTACTAAAATGACTTAAAATTTTTTTTTGAAATTTCAGTCAGAAAGTCCTCTGAATTTTCGAGTATATCAGCTAGAATTGAATTTGTCAATTGCATGGGAGTTACATCTGCTATTTCTCCCCCTTATCTGTTATTCTGACTATGGGGAATTCTAGAAGAAAGAAATAGATCAAAACGCACGTGTGTCTGAGTAATATGAACTAGAGTGACTCTAAGATCATTATTTGTCTTATTTCTCACAGTATAACATTCTTCTCTAGAAAATTCGTAGCAAAATCGAGCTCATACACCTCCACTCATGCAGACTATCAACTAGATCTGCGTAATTCCTTGAATAAAGTCATTTGAAAAGTCAGTTTTACACCTAATTCTCAACTATAATTTAAAGTCTTCAAAACTTCTTGCATGACTAAAGAAGTTCAATTGAAATCGTTGATCCACTCAAATAATTCAGAGAACCTGAAAATCCAAAACTTTCAATTTAATTAATGGAGCAATTCAATTAATCAATGATGGAGCTGATAAGCTGATAAGAATGTCATTTTGACTGATCAATTGGCAAACATTCTTTAATACTTTTAACATCATATTGTTTTTCAATTTGTAAATAATTGACAATTCGTCCGAAATCAGCAAACGAAAATGGAATTGTTCAATAATATAACATAAAATCAATTATAATATAATGGAATAATTTAATTATAAATAAAGATTTGCTTGTGGCTTGCGACCGCGATCGCAATGTATTCTTCTAAAAAATAATTATAATCATTACAAGCTGTGAGGAAAAAATTGAATAACTGAAATCTCAATCTCCGATACTTGGGCGAACGCTATTATCCGAGAATATGATTGCAAAATGTGAATTCACGCCAAAGTTGGTATCGGTGACATCCACCTTTAGAACTTTTTCCCCGTTATGAAGAATATAAAAAGTAGATGAACGACCAAGATCAATGGAACTTTAAACTATTTAATTAATGCGCCAAACCGTAACAATAATCAATACGAAGAATTCTCAGTACCAGAAGAATTCTCCATTATCCATGAGCAATTACATTTTTAGCGTTGTAATATTTATTCCAATACCTGAAAAAAGTTACGGCAGATAAATTGTTCTTGAAGTGGCCGACGCGAGTCGTCGACTCATTTTTAATTCGTTTTAATAGTTGAACTGATATGACGTGTAAAAAAAAATGATAAGCTCCTAGTTTAAAAAATCCATTGAAGTGTGGAAGAGCGGTATAAAGCTGAGAAAAGGAGATAAATGAAGCGGAATAAATGGTGAATAAATTGTTTCAGCTTCGAGATGAAAAGGAGGTGGGTAGAGAATCAAAGCGAGCTACTGTTTTACCAGACGGGCCCGTCGGGGACACCCCAGAACCGCCCTCAGCCTCCATTGGCAGTGACAGTTGGGTATGGCTGACAGCCGACACCCGCGTTCCAGTAAGTACATATCCATTATCCCATTTTACCTCATTTATCTACCAACAATTTTCCATTTCCACCCATTCATTATCTCTCCTTATTTATTTCTACCGCTTAATCCATTGGGGAATCGCCTCTGCACATCACTCTATACATTTATAATGAGTGCTGAGGTACACACCGTGGTTATCTTCCAATTCCACGAGAATTACCGACTTAACACATTCTCATGGAAAATATTCCATCCGCCGGTTTTTCACTTTTTCCTTTTCTTTTTCTCCGACCTCTTCCATTTCTTTTAATTCGCGAATTAAATGGGGGGGGGAGGGGGTACATTAATTAATTAATAATTAATTAATTTTGTGATTCATTGTATGCAGCAAATGATGAATTATTTATAATTTTTTTCAATTATTTGGGGAATTGTCATTTGTAATGATAATTATCTATTGATTGCAGTTGAGAATGTGATGTTTTTTTAAACTCTTAATTTATGATGAATCTCGAATAATCTCTTAAGGTTGTTGTCGCGTAGAATTTTTTTTCGACAGTTTTCGTTAAAAATTTTATGGTGAATAGTGTGAAAAATTAGCAACAAAATGAGTCTTTTCCGTTTGCAATTGACCGTTTTGAACATGAGATATAAATTTTTGAAATTCGAGTGATTTAACACGTGTTTAAATGGAGTTTTGCCGATTAGAATTTTTTTTAAATCAACGGCTCGACAGTTTCAGAAATAAAAAAAAA